CTTTTGCTTGAACAAATGCTGAAGACTGCGATGATCAGTGAATACCTCACAAGATACGCCATACAAGTAGTGCCTCCAAATCTTCAAAGCATGAACTATAGCAGCCAACTCCAAATCATGTACAAGGTAGTTCTTCTCGTGGGGCTTCAACTGACGAGAAGCATAAGCAATAACTCTACCCTCCTGCATCAATACACATCCAATCCCAACTCTCGAAGCATCACAATATACAGTATAAGAACCTGAAGCTGATGGCAAAACCAATACTGGAGCTGTGGTCAAAGCTGTCTTGAGCTTCTGAAAGCTCTCCTCGCACTCGTCCGACCATACAAATGGAGCACCCTTCTGAGTCAACTTGGTCAAGGGCGATGCAATAGAGGAAAATCCCTGAACAAACCGGCGATAATAACCTGCCAACCCAAGGAAACTACGAATCTCTGTGGCTAAGGTCGGTCTAGGCCAACTCTGAACCGCCTCTATCTTCTTCGGGTCGACCTGAATACCCTCGCTGGACACCACGTGCCCCAAGAAAGCCACTGAACTGAGCCAAAACTCACACTTGGAGAACTTTGCATAAAGCTTCTCCTCCCTCAATCTCTGCAATACAGCTCGCAAATGTTGCGCGTGCTCCTCCTGACTACGCGAGTACACCAGGATATCATCAATAAAAACAATAACGAACGAATCCAGATAAGGCCGAAATACATTGTTCATCAAATGCATGAACGCTGCTGGGGCATTGGTCAGCCCGAAAGACATGACAAGAAACTCATAGTGACCATATCTAGTCCTGAAAGCAGTCTTAAGAATATCTGAATCCCTGATCTTCAATTGGTGATAGCCCAAACGGAGATCAATCTTGGAAAACACCCTCGCTCCCTGAAGCTGGTCGAACAAATCATCAATGCGAGCCAGGGGATACTTGTTCTTAATTGTTACCTTGTTCAATTGCCTATAATCGATGCACATTCTCATTGTGCCATCCTTCTTTTTCACAAACAGAACTGGCGCACCCCACGGTGACACACTAGGCCGAATGAACCCCTTATCTAGGAGTTCTTGATGCTGCTCCTTCAATTCTTTCAACTCCGCTGGTGCCATAAGATATGGAGGAATAGAGATGGGCTGAGTGCCCGGCACCAGGTCAATATCAAAATCAATATCCCTGTCCGGTGGCATGCCCGGCAGGTCTGCAGGAAATACGTCAGGAAAATCCCTCACCACTGGAACGGAATCAATACTAGAGCCTCAGCTCCAACATCCCTCACAAAAGCAAGATACGAGAGACAACCCTTCCCAACCATACGCTGGGCCTTCAAGAAAGAAATCACTCTACTCGGAACATAATCAGTCACACCACGCCACTCGATCCGTGGTACACCCGGCATAGCCAAAGTGACTGTCTTAGCATGACAGTCTAGAATAGCATGACACGGAGATAGACAATCCATGCCCAAAATAACATCAAAGTCCACCATGCTCAATAGCAATAGATCAACTCGGGTCTCCCGACCCCCAATAGTCACAACACATGACCGGTACACACGGTCTACAACAATAGTGTCGCCCACCGGGGTAGACACATAAACAGGTAAAGCAAGAAACTCCTGGGGCGCACCCAAATAATGAGCAAAATATGAAGACACGTAAGAATAGGTGGAACCGGGATCAAATAATACTGAGGCATCTCTGTGGCAGACTGAAACAATACCTGTAATGACAGCATCTGAAGCAATGGCATCTGTCCTGCCTGGAATAGCATAAAAACGAGCCTGGCCACCGCCTAATCGGCCTCCACTTCTGGGGCGACCCCTGGCTGCCTGATCTCCACCCCTGGCTGCCTGATCTCCACCCCTGGCTGGCTGGGCGGGTGGTGAAGTAACTGGAGCAGAAGTTGAG